GATGTCCGTCATCTCTGAGAAGTCTTTGAAAAGTCGCCTCGAACGTATCTCTGAATTTCTGCACAATTGAACATTCTAAAGCCAGCAATGTTAGGAAGGATATATTGGTGCAGAAAAGGATGGTTTCACAAGGAAAACATCTTAAAAAAGAGAAACATTTTTTTCTTTAGAAAAGTCCAGAATCTCTACCCAGGAACAGTCAGGGGAAATGCAAATCAAACTGAATAGCAGGCAGAGTGAAAAGCGGCCTCCACAGCGCCCCTTGTTTTACGCAGCTGCGGTATTTCCACAGGCCCCAGACAAGGGGAGGGTTAATCTTAAGTAACACTGAGTAACTCCCAGGGGGCCATGAAGGAGTTAAAATATCACACTGGTCTGGGTACAGGAGCAGCTAATGGGGCGAGGGAGACTGTTTCTCTCTAATAATTAGGAATGAGCATTTGGGGATTAATCAATTAAGGCAATATTAAGGGAGTAAGAGCATGAAAATTAATAGATTTTTCTCTTAGAGATCTGTTAGGATATTTCCCACGCAGCACCAGAACAGCAAAGCTAATCTCGTTCTGCTTGCTTGTTGGCATTAGTGAGTGTAAGTTTGCCTCATGAATGTGTACATCTGCACTCTGAGATAGTATGGCCCACACAATTACTCATGGTAATTGTGTATTTTTATTTCTTTAGCTGACAATTTTATCTAAAGCAGCACATTTTTGAGAAGGCAGGGTTAGTCAGTCCCTCGAGCAGTTAGGGGTTATGGACCCTGCCCTAGGGCCCAGTGGTGACATCATTCCGCCATCCACTGGATTGGAACCAGCAGCCTCTCAGTCAAAGGCACAGTGCCCTAACATGCCGAGCCACGTCCCAGCCTCCGTGCTCAGGAGTGTTACAAATCTTTGGGCCAGTGGGTCTGTTGGAGCTTACCTCTTATCAAAACGCCTGCTTCCTCTCCCCCGAATCTGTCTGAAATCCATGCAGCTCATACCCCAAACCTGTCCACCTTCATTCAGATTAGCGGGTGGTAGAATCAGATCATGACAATTTTTGGTGGGTACAGCTAACTGAAAAATTAACTTCAATAACCGCTAATCCATTAATTCCATAGTTTAATGCTAAACCAGTTAACCACAGAAAATATTTGGCGGAAACTACCACTGCTAAACACTAACTATTATTGTATAAGCATAGGTTTGGTTTTTGGATCTGAAACACTTAGAAACATATCTAGAGGCCTAAAAGTCCCATCTGTTGGACTAGAGTGATTGTCAGGAGATATTTAGGACTCACCCAGTTGGCTATCTTTGGATTCTGTAGAGCCATCGGAATAAATCTGTTTTGAAATTTTTTTTCTATTATATTCCGTTGGCGGGATATAAGCATTTGTTGGAGAAGCCCTATTTTGCAACTGGCCCATGCTGATATTTTGCCCTCAGTGAAGCCACTTGGCAACTACAAATATGGCGACATTTAGCTGGAACTAGGAATGAGGGTCTCAGCTATTTCGTGGCCTACCACCACCCTGAAAAAACTGCAGAAATGGCTGCATTTTTTTCAAACAGCATCTTAAAAGTGAAATTTGTTATGCTTCTGCCAAGGTGAGATTTCGTTGGTCATGTAGCGTGAATTGTAAATTGTAAAGCAATATTCTGAATGACACCGAAAGCTGTAAAGTGTTTTCGTGACCAGGCCTACTCATCATGGCTGCTTCTGCACTGTATCTGCGGGGCCTAAAGATCTAAGTAGCTCCTGTGCTGATAGCCTACATCCTTAATAAATGATAAGGCTACATCACTGATAGGCTGATAGGCTACATCACTGATAGGCTGATAGGCTACATCACTGATAGGCTGATAGGCTACATCACTGATAGGCTGATAGGCTAC